GCCCCTTCAATGTCTCCGTGCCCCCCGACACGCCTTGCGACCGCCCGGCACCACAACGCACCCCGCCTCGTGCAGGCACGGGTGGCGGACTAGTCGGGGGGCGGCGCGCGGTTGCGGGGGGGGGGGGAGCCGGCGGCAGCAAGGGGGGGCGGCCCGAGCCTGCGCCCCCGGCCCCACTGCACTTGGCATCGCTCGGACGTGTGCATTTTTCCTTCGGCGAGGACCATCGAGGAGCATCCTTGATCATTTGGCGAAGAAACCACGCACGAAACCGAAACAAACACATGCAATGGACGTCCGGGCGATGGCGAGTGCACGCTGCTTCGCCTCCCTTCGGCCGCCCCCCGCGCGGGGCTTCGAAGAGGAGCGCTCCCCTGGCCCGCCCTGCGGCGAGCGACCGCACCTGCCCGCCGCGGCCGCACCTCGGCTCCTCCTCCTCCTCCTCCTTCTCCTCGACTCCTCCTCCTCCTCCTCCTCCTCCTCCTCCTCCTCCTCCTCTCCCTGCTCGGGCCGCCCTCTCTCTGCCCCGCCGCCTCTCGCCCTGCTCGCGGCGGCTGCGTCCGCCGTGCCGATCCGGCGCCCCCCGCCGCCGGAGCACACATCGGGATGAGGAGGAGGAGGAGGAGGAGGAGGAGGAGGAGGAGGAAGAGGAGGAGGAGGCGGAGGAGGAGGAGGAGGAGGAGGAAGAGCGGAGGGCAGGCAGGGGGCGGACGGGGTCACTGCAGCAAGACGGCCAACGGAAGAGGCGAAGGAGGTCGAGCACGAACGCGGGTGCAGAGGTGCAGCTCTGTACGATCACTGCGCGCGTCGCCCGCGCACCCGCTTGTCCGCCCTTCCGCGCACCCGTCCATATTCAGGAGGGAAAGAAACACACAGACACAATTATTCGTCGACTCCCAGGAAAATATGGGAAGTGGGGGGAAGGCAAAAACCCAACAAATATGTGAACATATGGGAATCGTTTTATTTGTGTGTATTTATTTGTGTGTCCCAGGGCCCCTTCACCTATGCCCTCCCTGTCCTTGATAGTCCCACCAGGCAGTCGGCCATGCGAGGTCTGTGCGGTCGATCCAGCGCGGTCCTGCGTCCGAGGGCCGGGCCGCGCGCTCCAGTCCGGTGCTGACTGTTCTCGCGGCCCCGCCTCGTCTCTCTGCGCGAGTCCCCGACTGGCAAAGTGTGTGTGTGTGTGTGGGTGTGTGTGTCGGCATCGTTTCACCGATCCCCATCCCCATCCCTATCCCGTTCGATACCCCCACCAGATTGCCCCCCAGTTGGGGATGCGCCGCTCGAAAACCGAAGGGAACGGCCTATATCTCCCCATCTAGGGGGGTAAATCGGCCAGTGGGGCCCAGGCCACGCCGCTGGGGATGGGGATCGGTTAAACGATACGTGTGTGTTTGTGTGTGTTTGTGTGTGTGTGTGTGTGTGTGTGTGTGCGTTCCCACCGCTGCATGTTTCTTCTGGACATACAGTTCCTCTAACACATTCATCGTCTGCACTTGCAGTGTGCGACGCTTCGTACGCTGCGCCTTCGACACTGCTCGATCGCACTTCCATCTGCTGCTCGCGCTTGAGGACCCTCTGTGTTGCTGGCTCAACAAAAAACGCGCTCCCACTGCGCGCAACCTGTCAGGCGTGATCTGATTTCAGCTCGGAGCGGGTCCCGAAGGCGGCATGTTTGTGGGCTCTGCGCCTGCGCGCCACCGCAGCAGGTACGACTGGCACCGGGCGTTATTTCTCGCCGGGCCCACTCGCTACAGCCGGGGGGCAGCTGCAAGGAGGTCCGCCTCGAGCACCCTACCCGATCTGCCGTCGCAAGAGTGTCACGGCGCCTGCGGTCTACGTCTAGTAGAAGGCCACGTGCGCACCCTACCCCGCCACCCTACGATTTCCAAAAGCGGAGGTGGGGTTCATTTCGTTCGGGACCTCCCGAGCGAAGTGAGCCCCACTTCCCCCGTAGAAATCGTGGGGTGGTGGGGTCGGGTTCTTACGAATGTGGCCTCCTATGCACGACATTTGGATTCCAGTTTACGCATTTTGCTGGTGCGTCGATTCTGAGTTGGAAGCTCATCTGTCGAAGCGCGTGGATGCTGGCACCGCCTCGTCCCCTCGTCAGCCGCCTCTCGTAGTTCGTGTGGCGACCTACCGTTATCGCATTCTGCGACGCGTCCGGCGAGTGAGGCAGCGGTCATGCGGCACTCGTCCGTTGTATGGGGAGCTTTCCGCCCAAGGCCACGTTACACTAACGGGCCCACCATCGTCATTGAGAGGTTGCGGTCTCTTGGTCGTCGCTGGCGGAATGAGAAGGTGCGATCATTTGACAACTCCGGTTTTTTTTTTGCCTGTGTGCTTCGCGCACGTCTCTTCTGGTACTCTTCCGGCGTGGCCGTGTTTTTCTTCGCGGGGACTGCTTGCCTTCGGCGCGTGGGCGGGACACGTACGATCTGGCGGCACGTGTCTGTGCATCTGCGCGCCGACTGTCCGTGCTGCTCCTGTCGCCCGCCCGCCGCCGCCGCGTCGCTGCGGCGCTCGCTGTCGCGCGACGTCAACGCGCGTCGGCTTGCGTGCGTCGTGCGGCTGGGAGCGTTCGGGCCGCGACGACCGAGAGGGCAGTGTGTGTGTGTGTGTGCGTGTGTGTCTGTGCCCCCCGCCCGCCCCTTCCTGCATGGCGGTTTCTCGTTGGACTCTCCTCCTCCTCCTCCTCCTCCTCCTCCTCCTCCTCCGCCTCCGCCTCCTCCTCCGCCTCCGCCTCCGCCTCCGCCTCCGCCTCCGCCCCGCGCGCCGGTGTTTTGAACCCGCCCCTCGCCTGGGATCCCGCTGTTCTTCTTGAACCCCCCCCGCAATGCAGACAGGTGTGGCAACGCACCATTGGCACGTCTTTCTTGCAATGCATCCGCACGCGTCGGATGAAAACGCGTGTGCGTGTGTGCGTGTGCGTGTGTGTGTGCGTGTGCGTGTGTGTGCGTGTGCGTGTGTGCGCGTGTGTGTGTGTGTGTGTGTGCGTGTGTGTGTGTGTGTGTGTGTGTGTGTGTGTGTGTGTGTGCGTGTGCGTGTACGTGCCTGTGTGTGTGTGTGCATCCTGGTCGACTGCCGTTGCCACCTACCTACCCCTGCGCCTCTCTTGACGCCTCGACTTCGCTGTGGAACTGACTCTCCCGGTCCCCGTTTTCTCCCTCTTCTCCCTATTTTCCATCTTCCCTTCCTTCCCCATTCGAGACCACCTGCCTCCTCGGGAGTGTTGCGGGCGATCCCCTATGGTGGTTTCAGCTCTTCCATGCTGCGTGAGCTGGCCCAGCCCGCGCGCGCTCGCCAGATTCGACCCACACCGTGCGGCCGCGCGTGCGGTTGCGACGCCAAGAAAGACACGGCGTGTGTGTGTGTGTGTGTGTGTGTGTGTGTGTGTGTGTGTGTGTGTGTGTGTGTGTGTGTGTGTGCGTGTGCGTGTGCGTGTATCTGTGTGTGTGTGTGTGCGTGTGTTTACCACGGCGAGCGAGGCCCCAGTCTTGCGATCCTGGCGCGTTTTTCCCTTGTGTTGCTGGCCCCGTGGGCGGCCGTGCTCTGGGCCCTGGAGCAGATGTACGTGTGCGTGTGCGTGTGCGTGCGTGCGTGCGTGCGTGTGTGTGTGTGTGTGTGTGTGTGTGTGTGCGTGTGTGTGTGTGTGTGTGTGTGTGTGTGCGTGTGTGTGTGTGCTTACCACGGCGAGCGAGGCCCCAGTCTTGCAATCCTGGCGCGTTTTCCCCCCGTTCCTGGCCCCGTGGGTGGCCGTGCTCTGGGCCCTGGAGCAGAGTAATGACGAACGAACACCACACACCCATACCCATAGCCAGTCCTCCTCCTCCTCCTCCTCCTCCTCCTGTGTGTGTGTGTCTGTGTGTGCTTACCACGGCGAGCGAGGCCCCCATCCTGCAAGCCTGGCGCGTTTTTCCCCCGTGCTGCTGGCCCCGTGGGCGGCCTTTGCTCTGGGCCCCGGAGCAGAGGTAATGACGAACGAACACCACACACCCATACCCAGAGCCAGTCCTCCTCCTCCTCCTCCTCCTCCTCCTCCTCCCTCCTCCCTCCTCCTCCCCTCCCCCTCCTCCCCCTCCTCCTCCTCCTCCTCCTCCTCCTCCTCCTCCTCCTCCTCCTCTCCTCCTCCCCCTCCTCGTCCTCCTCCTCCTCCTCCTCCTCCTCCTCCTCCTCCTCCTCCTGGGTCGTTGGGAGGAGGACTGGCTGTGGGTATGGGTGCGGGTTGTCGGACCCTGGGGAACGCTCCCCTTCGAGCGGGGGCCCCCATCCGACAACACGCACCCGTAGCCCTCTCCGACCCCCCTATGGGTATGGGTGTGTGTTGTTGGTTCGTCAAGTAAGACATGGGCTCTGGACGAAGGGTGCCCGTGGGCGCCAGGGGATGCCAGTTGCATGCAGCTGGTTCGTTGCCCGCCCTCCCCCGCCCGCCACCCGCGCTTCTGCTCACCCGCCCGTCCTTCCACCCCAGATCGGGAAGCGTAAGGGGGGAGCAGGAGGGAGGCGTCCCCCCTTGCGGTGGTCGTGGTCCTCGCCCTTCGCCTTCTCCTCCGTGTCCTCCCCCCCGCACCCACAGTGTGTCGAAGAAGACGAGACGTAACACTTTCGGAGCTCCGCGCGTATCTCCCCCCCGGATCGGCGCTGGAGCCCTCTTCCCGGCGCGCCGAGCTCGCCAGAGGCGGCGCTGGAGGCGCCACTAGGGAGGGCCCAGCGCCGATCTGAGGAATCCGCGCGGAGCTCCGACAGCTTCTGTTTATGCGGTCGTTTCTTCTTCGATGACGGGGGGCCAAAGGGTTTCGAGCGGGCTCGACCTGCGTCGAGGTTCTCGGGTCTCGTCCCCCGGCGCGCGCCCCTCCGGGGCCCCTGGATTCGAGCAGGCCACGTCCGAGGCCCAAGACTAGCCTCGATCTCATCCCCATCCCTGAGGTTGACAGGCCCGCGGCGATGACAGTCGCACGGACGCGCCTTGAGAAACTGAGGGCATCCTCGCCACCATGTTGCCTCACAGTCGTTCCGAATCCGAGTCCGTCCCGCAGCCACGGGCGTCTGGGCCCCGCCCGCGGCGCCGGTGCAGGCAGGGGGAGGGCGACATGGCGGTCAGCAGCTCCATTGGCTCGAACATTTTCGACGTCACCGTGGCGGGGCCGGGTCAGCCTCCCAAGGGGGCTCATCATGTTTCAGCATCCCGACGACAACCTCCCAGTACACGCCGGTCGTTGAAAGTAGGTATTTTTGGATTCCCAGATCCCAATCTACTTCAAGCGCCTTCCGACTTCAATAATCGACATGCTTTTGTTGTGTTTTGTTATACTCTGGGAGGACCTGGACCCAAATATCCGCCTTCCTACTTCATGTTTCTACCTACTTCTTCCGACCGACGTGTAGTTGCCTCCTCACTCCCACCCTTGCTTCTGCCCCCCCCGCGCCCAGTGCAGCGCTCTCTGGTCCCGCAGGGGGGGGGGATGGCGAACGGAGCCATGAGCCGTCTTGGGGCACACCGGGCGGGCGTGCTCGCTCCGCTTCGGGCCGCGGGGCCCCCTAGATGGGTCGATCCGGCTGGATCCATACAGCAGCGGTGTGGGGCTCCGGTCGTGACTTTTCGCGATGTTGTATTTCTGTTCGTGGCTGAAAGCAGGTACTCCAGACTTCGTAGTAAAAAGGGAGGGGGTCTGGACCCTCCAAGACAAGCCATCTCAGACCTCCCCCGTGGGAGAGAACCCTCCAAAACAGCGTCCCCAGACCCCCCAGGCCCTCCAAGATAGCCTGGAAGAGACCCCCCCCGAAATGAGACCCCCCTCCCTTTATCACGAGATCTGGAGTATCCTTGGATGCCCGAATCCCAATCTCCATCGGGCGCCTTCCTTCTTCCAGAGCCGAGCGGTTTTCCCTCCTCCCTCCTCTTCGGGGGGTGGGCGGAAGCCCACTCCTCTTTCAGCGCCTTCCTACTTAACTGGGTAGTCGAAGGCCAGACTGTCAGATTGGATTGGGCCCCAAGGGCCAATCTGGCCTGGCCATATTAGAGGATTGGGGTTGTTCGCCAGACTGGATTCGCGTTGGCTCCCTCGCCAGATTGCCCCCGATTGCCAAATTGGGCCTGCCAGATTGGCGCCAGATTGGCTTCGACTACCCCCCCTGTCCCCAGCACTGCACAGGGGGAGGGCCGCACTGGGGGGGTCTCCGGGGGGGGGGCCGGCCCCCCTCCCCTCGAGGGGAGGGGCCCGGGGGTTCTAGCCGGGCGGGGGGTCCTTCCCTCTGACTTTCAAGCCGAATTTCAAGGGGGGGGTTCGAACCAGCCCCCCTCCCCCCGTCCAAGTGGCAACCGACGGCCTCGAGCGCTGGCGCCGTCGGGCAGCGACGACGACGACGACGAGGATCGAGCCTCAGTAGGATGCTATTGAGGCCGGATCGAGCCTTTGTAAGATTCTATTAGAGGAGGATCGAGCCCCAGTAGGATTCATTTAGAGCTGGATCCAGCCGTAGTAGTGTTCTTTGAAAAGCTGGATCGAGCCTCGTAAGGATTTAATTAGGGGTTGGATCCAGCTATAGCAGGATTCCATTATAGTTGGATCGAGCCCGACTAGGACGCTATTGCAAGTGGATCGAGCGGTAACAAGTGGTCCGTGCGTGCTGAGGCTCATACAAACACATGTGCAGGATCTGTGTGCGCCTGTTGTGTGTTTTATGTGTGTTGCGTGCTGTAATTATGCGTGTGTTGTGCGTTGTGTGTGTGTGCTACGTGTGAGTTATGTGCTGCTTATGTGTGTTCTGCTTGTCATGTATGTTCGGTGTGTTTTGTATGTGTGTGTGTTGTGTGTGTGTGTGTGTCTGTGCGTTGTGTGTACGTGTTGCTTGTCCTGGGTGTTTTGTGAGTGTGTGTTGTGTTTGTGTGTATGCGTGTGCGTGTGCGTGTGTGTGTGTGTGTGTGTGTGCGTGTGTGTGTGTGTGTGTCCTGCTTACTTTCATCGCCACAGGGCTCCCTTCGCGCTTCTAAAAAAGTGTGTCCAGCGTTTGTGTGTGTTCTGTGTGTTGTAGGTGCTCTGTGTGAGCGTTGCGTGTGGCGTATTTTTTTGTTGTCTGTGTGCGTGTGTGTGTGTGTGTGTGTGTGTGTGTGTGTGTGTGCGTGTGCGTGCGTGCGTGCGTGCGTGCGTGCGTGCGTGTGTGATGTGTGTATTTCAGTGTGTATTCTCTCTCTCTCTCTCTGACTGTCTCTACGAGTGTGTTGCACGCCGTGGCTCGATTCTTGGAGGATGTCCCAGGCGAAACGGCATTGGTTCGTCAAACGGGGCTTTCTTGTGGGAGGATGTTTCAGATGTGAACTGCATTTTCCGAATACTCGGGCTCAGACTCGTTGACATCCTTGGTCCTTGGCTGAGCATCCATTGTGTTTTTGGACAGTGACGTCGCGATCTACGTGAGGGGTGCCCCCGATTTTTCAGAACCTTGAGGCCATCCCGATCGGAACGGCCAGAACAGGAACCACGGCTTCAGTTCTTCGCCTCCGAGCCCTGCTCGCTCAGAGAGGTCCGTACGATAATGGGATTATGCTGGAGCTGGGCCGGGCCTCGCTATGATTCAGGTACGCGTGAGAGTCCACGTGTCGTTGGATTCTACGGGAGCCGGATCGAGCCCGAGCAGGATGCCATTCAAGTTGGGTCCAGCCCATTGGGTTCTATCAGGGGCAGGTGGGGAGGGGGGGGGGGCGGCGGAGGTGGGGAGGAGGAGGAGGAGGAGGAGGAGGAGGAGGAGGAGGAGGAGGAGGAGGAGAGGAGGAGGGAGGAGGAGGAGGAAGAGGAGACTCTAAAGCGAGCTGGGGACGTAAGGAGTGGAAGCGAGCGTGCGCCCGCGGCCGCGTTGGCTCAAGCGGCCGGCCGCCCAGATTTGGCTGTGCCTTCCCGCGAGGCACACTATCGCTATCGAGACCAAAAGGATCTTCCTATTGCTTGAGATGGCTTCTCCTTTCACACTGGGACTATCGTTACTACGATACGGCAGATCAGGAGCTTGGCTTCGCCTGAGGCGAAGCTGTTGGCTGGGCCTACCAGCCCCCTTCAAACTGGCAGGCCCTCCCCCTACTTGGAGAGGCTGGTGTCTGGCCCCCCCCGGTTCCTCGGGCGTTTCGCAAGGTTTAGGTGTTCGGGGGCAGAAAAGAGGGGGGTGATGACTAGGGGGGGTGGACATCATGGATGGGGCCATGATATCTCTCCAGATTTCGTGGCGCCTTCTTTTATTTCATTACGTCCCTGGCCCCCCCGCGGGGCCGCGCACATGCCGCCGGTCATGATTTGCACCCTCCCCTCTTGGACACCCCCCTCTTGGCCGCTCCCGAGGTGTGTGTGTGTGTGTGTGTGTGTGAGAGTGTGTGCGTGTGGGGTTAAGGGTTGTATCGACGTGTCCTGAAGCATGGCCTTCGGCCGTGTTTTGGGATGTGGCCTCCGCAGGGCTGGCGCAAGAGGACGTTGCCTCAACGCCGCCCCACAGGGATCTTGTGGCAGAGCCTTGCCAGAGTGATCTTCCTATTCCAAGATCCTTACAAACACCTTGTTTTTCAGCAGGGGTGGCTGGTTCCAACGTGTCGAGGGGTTCTGTCCGAGCGTGCGTCCACAAAACGCCCTCCTTATGAGGCGAAGACCGCTTGGAGAGCCCAGGAAGGCGCTCCAGGTTTCTGGCCGCCGTTCTTCAGGCTCCAGGTCGCGGGGGGGGGGGTGGCCTGTCCGGCCGAGGCTCACCGTTGCCAGAAGAGCGCCCCCTCCGTTTCTTCACTCGGCGTCCCTCGTGACAGCACGATGGCCCCACTGTCGTTGGGAAGAACCCGCACAAGCACAGCCACATCAGCGGTCTAAACGAATGGAAGATGTAGGAACTGGCGGGGAAGGAGGTCATCCAGGAAAGGTGGGAGCATATGGGAACACACGGGAACTCGGCGTTGACTGTGCAGGGTGATCCGCAAGTGTTGCCCAGCTATACTTCCGAGTTCGGCCTAGTCTCTTCCCACGCTCTGCGAGCTAATCTCTTCCTCTGCGCCGTCCGATGGAAGGGAACACAAACAAAAAACGAGATCTTCTGGAATCTTTCCCGACCTATGTGTGCCCCTCTCCGGCAGGTTCATGCGGCGTTGGCGCGCCGCCGACGCCGACGAAGGCGTTGGGAGTTGAACTCTGCGACGCGGAAGCACCGAGGGACACGGTGACGCCGCTGGACCCGACGGGGCTCAACCTTGAACGATCGGGGCCGCGATCGACTCCAGGCTGATCGATCGATGCGGTGTCAAACGTCTCTGCGCGCGCTGACGCCGCAGGAGGAGGAGGAGGAGGAGGAGGAGGAGGAGGTGAGGAGGAGGAGGAGGGGGAGGAGGAGGAGGAGAGGAGAGGAGGAGGAGGTGGAGGAGGGGGGAGGAGGCGGAGGAGGAGGAGGAGGAGGAGCAGGAGGAGCAGGAGCAGGAGGAGGAGGAGGAGGAGGAGGAGGAGGAGGAGGAGGAGGTGGAGGAGGGGGAGTCTGAGGAGGAGGAGGAGAAGGAGGAGGCCCCCCCCCGTGGCCCGAGCAGCCGCTTGCCCGCGCGAGCCGCCGGGGAGCGGAGGGGCTGCCCCTGCCGTGGGTGTGCTACAACCTCGCGGCTCCGCCCGGAGCTCGCCGCGGCGCCCCCCGCCGCACGGGGAGCAGGAAGCGCACCACCCCGAGATCCTGGCGTTTCAATTTTTTCGAGACGGGCGTTTTCGCAAGAGGTTTCGGGCCCTGGGACCCTCACAGGTCGATCCGGCTCGAAACCTACGTCGGCTCTCAGGGCACGTGATCGTTTTCTTTGTCACTGTTTTGCCGATTGTCGCGGGCCCTCGCACCCCCTCCCCCAAATGAAGTAGTTCCTGAGATCGTGGCGTCTCGATTTTTTCGAGCCGGGCCCTCACAGATCGATCCGGCTCTAAAAATGAGGCAGGAAGATGGGTTCTAGGGCTCTGGGCGTGGATGTTGTTACGATGTTGCAGTTTTCGCTATGTTGATTGGATCTCAGGGCACGTGACTGTCTTCTTATTCGTTGTTTTGCCGAAGTAGGTCTCGGCTGTTCTTTGCTCCTGTTGCCAGCAGGAGGAATCTCCCCCATGGGACGCACTGTTTCACACAGTCGCATCAAGCAGATGTCTGGAGCCAGACCCCTCTCTCCCACCACCGCCACCACCGCCATCACCGCCACCACCACCTGGGGGGATTCAGGATGCGTGGGTTTGCGGGATGCGGGTGTGCACGATGTCCCGCGAGAGCGCCTGAAACGATATGCACCAGTACCACCCCTGAACACCCTCTGCCTCCATTCTCTAGATGGTGGTGGTGCGTTTCCTTTGGCCGCAGGGCAGTCTGGGCACAGCAAAGAACCACAGCCACAGCTGAGGGGGCTTTTCGTGAGGGCCCCTCGGGGGAGAACCCACCGACCTCGACATGAACACGTTGGTGGTGGTCGTGGTCGACTTGGCCGTCCTGGGACGCCACATCGACCACAACCAGTACGGTGCCGTTTTTAATACATGCTCCGCGTGCGGATCATGTATTCAAACATGCAGGGATTTAGTATTAAACCAACGATGAGTTAATGCATGCATTTATTCATAAGTTAATCATGTTTGAAAAATCCAATATTTCAGACAAGCCCATGCATTAAAGAACAACTGCCCTGTACGCAGCTGGTTCTGGTGCTCCGACCGATTTCTGGCACGCGCAAGACACCCCCCCTTTTGTGCGTCCTCGATGTGGTCTTGGCCGCTTGCTGTCCCCGCAGGCAGGGCGCCCTGCCCTCGTCGTCGTCGTCGTCGTCGTCGTCGTCGTCGTCGTCGTTGCCGCCTCGTGACGGCTGGTGTCAGCACGACCAGAAGTGGAGGCTGATGAGGAGAATGAGGAGGAGGAGGAGGAGGAGGAGGAGAGGAGGAGGAGGAGGACGAGGAAGAGGAGGAGGAGGAGGACGATGAGGAGGCCGAGGAGGAGGAAGGACGAGGAGGAGGAGAGAGAGGAGGGGAGAGGACGAGGAGGAGGAGGAGGAGGGAGGACGAGGAGGAGGAGGAGGGAGGAGGAGGAGGAGGGAGGATGATGATGATGACGAGGAGGACGAGGAGGACGAGGAGGACGAGGAGGACGAGGAGGAGGAGGATGAGGAGGAGGAGGAGGAGGAGAGAAGTGGGGGAGGGAGGGAGAGAGGAGGAGGAGGAGGAGGAGGAGGAGGAGAGGAGGAGAGGAGGAGGCGGAGGAGCGAGGGAGGAGCAGCAGGAGCGGAGAGGAGAGGAGGAGGAGGAGGGAGGAGGAGGGGAGGAGGGGAGGAGCAGGAGGAGCAGGAGGAAGAGCAGGAGGAGAGGAGGAGAGGATGAGGAGGAGGAGGAGGGGAGGAAGAATGGTGGAGGAGGAGGAGGAGGAGGATGAGGAGGAGGTGGAGGAGGCGGGAGGAGGAGGAGGAGGATGATGATGATGAGGAGGATGATGATGATGCTGATGAGGAGGATGAGGATGAAGGGAGAGGGAGGAGAGGAGGGAGGAGGAGGAGGAGGAGGAGGAGAGGGGAGGAGGAGATGTGGAGGAGGAGCGAGGAGGCGGAGGGAGGGGAGGATGAGGAGGAGAGGAGGAGGCGGGGGAGGAGGAGGAGGGGAGGAGGAGGAGGAGGAGGAGGAGAGGAGGAGGAGGAGGAGAGAGTAGGAGAGGAGGAGTAGGATTCCATTACGTCCCAGGCCCCCCCGCTGGGCCGCGCACATGCCGCCGGTCATGATTTGCACCCCCCCCCTCTTGGACACCCCCCGCTTGGCCGCTCCCGAATGATGGGGGACTGGGGCCGGGAGGGCGTGTCGCAGCATCTTTGTCGTGTCCTGGAGGTGCCGCCCCGCCCTCCGAGCTCGGGGGAGGCTCCCGCGGTCCGGAGGCAGGTGTCAATCTGTCACTTCCCCCTCCCCCTCCTATTGTCCCTTCCCCTCTTGCTCGCTCCCCCTCCTCTTCCTCCTCCCTCGTCCTCTCCCTCCCCTCCCCGACCTTCTCTTCCTTCTCGACCTTTCCGTCCGTGCATCTGCGCGCGTGCGCACGTGCATCCTCAGGATCACCCACCACCCACCAAACCACCCCAACCCAACCCGAAGGCCTCAATTTGCCCTCCCTCTCCAGTGGGGGGAGGGTCGGGGAACATTCAACAAAAACACAGATGGAACCCTTATTCCCCCCCCAAACCCGAAGTTCGGGTCTTCGGGTTGGGTTGGAGTGGCCTGGTAGGTAGCCAGAGGAGGTGGTGGATGAGAGGTCGTCCGGAAGGCGACGGGACCGAGACAGTGACGTCATCACCGCGCTCGTTGGCAGCGATGCATCTGCGTGCACTCGTCTGGCCCGCTTGCCCTCCCGGCCCCTGGCCGATCCTCCGCAAACTGGACGAGGGACGCGCTCCTCGCCAGCCGCTCTCGTGATCCGGCCCCCTGCCGCTCCTTTCATGAGGGAAAGAATCTCACAGACACAATTAATTGTTGACTCCCAGGAAAATATGGGAAATATGGGGAATCATGTTTTTTTTTTTTTTTTGTGTGTGTGTGTGTGTGTGTCCTTGGGCCCCTTCATCCTTAGCAACCGCTTTCGTGATCCGGCCCCTGCCGCTCCCTCTCCTCGCCCTCGATCTGGTCCTTCTCCTACAGTGGAGGCCCATGCCAAGAGACGCCCTGCCTGCCTCAAGGGTGCCCTGGGTCTCTTGTGTTTTTCGACGGTTCTGCCAGGGGAAGCGTGGCGTCCCCACGCCGAGAATCAATGGACGTCGTGGGGTCTCAGGGTTGCGTTTCTTGTGGAAGGTTTCTTGTGGTCGAGCCCCTACTATACTCCTGACCGTCGTCGTCTTTGTCGTCGTCGTCGTCAGCGTCGTCTTCGTCACCCGCAATCTTTGTTCGTGTACTGTCTAAAGTTGCGGTGGATCAGCATCCACCCAGCAGTCGCTAGTGTTGATGGACTCCAGTGATGGCCCCGTCACCTGGCAGATGAGCCGTCAGCGCTGTACAGCCTTGCAGCACCTGAAGGCAGGGTGTCACCCGCGAACGGGTACTCCCCGAAGCGGAGACGCACCTCCCAGCTAAGGCAGCCGCCATTTGGAGCCTGGTGGCTCCCTAATTATCGGGGGTGGACAGAACCCCCAACAGTGACACTTCGATTAGTGAATTGTCCGTTTTCGGTTCTCGAGAGGGCGCCGTGGCCGTTATTGTCCAGGCTTGCGCCCGCCAGGTTTGGGCCTCGGGTCGTTTTCACCGAACCACGTTTCACTGAAGGGGGGTCTGCCCATCCCCGAAATTTACTTTTTTGGCTGGCCAGTGAGACCATTCGGCCGGCGTATCCCCCCCCTCCTCTCCCTGCTGTCCTTCCCTCCCGCCTCCTTCCCTCCCCATCCCTCCCTTCTGTCCCTCCCTTCTGTCCCTCCCTTCTGTCCCTCCCTTCTGTCCTTCCCTCCCTTCTGTCCCTCCCTTCTGTCCCTCCCTTCTGTCCTCCCTCCCGCCTCCTTCCCTCCCGCCTCCTTCCCTCCCTTCTGTCCTTCCCTCCCCATCCCTCTCCCGCCCTGGCTCTGCTCGTGGTCCTCGCGCACGCCTCCGCTTCCTTTTTCTCTCCCTTCCCCGCCGCCCCCCTCCGCGCCTCCGGCGGCCCTCCCTGGCCCCGCGGCCTCGCTTCGGGGCCTGCGCGGGTGAAGGCCTTCGCGAAAACCGTGGACGTAGACAACGACGCCTTGATCTCGTCCGTGATGCTGCTCGTAGGCCCCGCCACTCGTCGTCGTCGTCGTCTTGCCGTCGTCGTCAGCGTCCCTCCTCGCCCCCATCCCCCGCGTCCCTTTCTTCTTGGTGCAGGCTGTAGCTGCCCTCCTCCTCTCCCGCGGCGCCCCTCCCCTATGCCTGTGCTGCAGCTGCTTCTGCAGCTCTTCCCCCCTGTCTTTGCCGCTGTCTCTTTCTATCTCTCCGTCTCTTCCTTCCTTTATCATTACTTATCTCTCTCACTCTCTTACCCACTATGTATGTATACATGCACGCACATACATACACATGTATGTATGTTTGTATGTAATGTAATGTAATGCAATGTAATGTAATGCAATGTAATGTAATGTAATGTAATGCAATGTAATGTAATGTAATGTATTGTGAACTCATGTAATGTAATGTGATGTAATGTACTACAATATGGACAATGTAATGCAATGAGATGTAATGTAATGTAGTGCAATGTAATGTAATGTAATGTAACCTAATGTAATGGAATGGAATGTAATGTAATGTAATGTGTTGTATTGTATTGTAATATAATGTAATGTAGTGTAGTGCAATGAAATGTAATATATGTATGTATGCATGTCTGTATGCATGTATGTATGGATGCATGCATGGATGCATGCATGTGTGTACGTATGCATGCATGTATGCATACATGTGTGTACGTATGTCTGTATGTATGTATGTATGTGTGTATGTGTGCATGCATGCATGCATACATATGTGTATATATGATTTGTCTGTGTTTCTCTTGCCGCTCTCCCTCTCTCTTATAACTGCTCTTTCTCTCTTTCTCTCTCTTTCCGTCACTTTCTCTTCTCAGTCATGTCTTTCTTTCTCCGTATAGTTATGCTATGTATGTAATGTCGCTCTCTCGCCCTCTCTCTCTCTAATTGCTCTCTCGCTCTCTCACCCCTCCCTCTTCCTCTTTTTTCTTTCTGTCTCTCTCCCCCTTCGTGTATTTATATCTGTAGGTGGGGCTTCTTTACACGTGTTTGCATATGACTATGATTGTACGTGCATGCATGCATTCATCATGTATGCACGTACGCTTGAATACACGTGTATGCATGTCTGTATGCGTGCATGCATGTTCTAATACACAAGTGCATGTGTGCATGTATGGATGCATACGTAAATGCACACTTCGGTGCTCCGAAAGTTTTCCCCGTTTTACGAAGCACGGCTCCGCGCGGAAGCAACGCAGCCGCATGATTGCATTGCCGCAGCAATAAAGACGTTGTACACGAGCCTCGCGGACCTTGGCAAACACAGCGTTCGGGCGCGAACGGTGACGAATATGGTGCGCGTGCTGGCAAAACTTTCGGGCCGTCTAGGGAGCAACCCGATCGATTTTTCGGAGGACGTCCTGTGCTCTTTGCCCACTTCCAGGTCCATCCACCCTTTGGGATCAATTCTTCAGATTGGGTTGGGAACCGAAGCCCGATTTCTGACCCAAAGGGCGGGGGGTAGGAGGTGGAGGACGAGGAGGAGGAGGAGGAGGTGGAGGAGGAGAAGGGGGAGGATGAGGTGGGAGGAGTAGGAGGAGGCGCAGGAGGAGGAGGAGGAGGAGGAGGAGGAGGAGGATGTGGAGGAGAAGGCGGAGGAGGAGGAGGAGGAGAAGGAGGAGGAGGAGCAGGAGGAGGATGACCAGGAGAAGGAATAATACTAATACTCATAATGATAGTAAGAATGATCAAACTGAAACTAATAAGAATCATGACATTAGTACAATGAATCAGAATAGCCAGCATACTTTGAATAATTCTAAACATACGAATAGTATGAATAGTAATAATAATGAGGAGCATTAATAATACGAATAATAACATGATTAATCGGAGGAGGAGGAGGGCCCCTGCGGCCAAACTGGTCGGGGCGCGGGTCCTGCCCCCGACCTCGCCGCCCCTTCGCCCTGGCTGTCCGAGCGGCCCCCGCTGGCCATGTCTTCGGCCTCGCCACGGCCCAGATGGCGACAAGATGCACGGTGGCAGCGCCGGGGAGTCTTCAAGATCTGACGCAGTATACACATACACATACACACATGTATGTGTGTATATGTACGTGTGTATGCATGTATGTATGCATGCATGCATGCATGCATGCATCTATGCATGCATGCACGTATATGTACGTGTACGTATGTAGCTATGTTTGTACGCGTGTATGTATGTGTGTGTGTGTATGCGTGCATGCATGCATGCATGTATGTATGTATGTATGCATGCGTATGTATGAATGCATGCATGCAAGCATGCATGTATGTACATGTATGTATGCATGTATGTATATATATATGCATGTATGTATGTATGCACGCATGTATACACATATATGTATATATACATATGTATGTGTGCATGCATGTCTTTATGCATGTATCTATGTTTGTATACATCGATGCCGGTATGTCTGTATGCTTGCATGTGTGCATATATGTATGTATGTGTGTATGTGTGCATCCATGTATGCATGTATGCATGTACGCATGTATGCATGCATGCATGCATGTATGTGTGTATGCATGCATGCATGCATGTATGTATGCATGTATGTCTGTATGTATGTATGTATGCATGTCGGTGCTCGTATGCATATATGTATGTACGTATGTATGTATGTATGTATGTACGTACGTACGTACGTACGTATGTATGTATGTATGTATGTATGTATGTAGGTCGGTAGGTAGGTAGGTAGGTAGGTAGGTATGCATGCTTGCACGCATGTATGTATATATGTATGTATGTTTGTGCATCTACATCCCCGTTAAGAAAGTTAATTCATCTTGGCTAAAATTGACATGTGTGGGCGCTGTGGTGAGAAGTGGTATGGGAGTGATTCTTCCTTGTGGTTTCACACGGGGAGAGATTCAAAGTTGCCTGGAAGTGGCCGGGAGTGATACCTCCCTTGTGAATTTACGTGGGAGAGATTTTATCCTGAATTGGTTATATACTATTAATGCTACCAGGGAGAACCCCAGAAATCTCTCCCGCCAAGCCAGGCCGAATACTGCCGTGCTAGGAGTCTACGGGGGGAAGGGGGGGGCACTCGGACACGCCCTAGTCGTCAGTGCTCAAGATGAATAATTTTCGTAACGGTTAAGTATGCATATGTATATATGTATATATGTGTACACAGGTGTATCTGCATCGGTGACCTGAGCTGTTCGCCCCGGTGTCCCTGGCTGCTCTGCGGGCGGGCGGCTCCGGGAGGACATCCATCCCTGCTAACATGGTCCTTCGCTGGGAGTGCACCCGCCCATCCCTCCATCTCTCCTCCCTCCTCCCCTCCCCTCTCCCTCCCTCCCTCCCACCTTCCGCTCCCTCCTTCCTCCCTCCCCTCCCTCCTCCTTTCCCCTCCTCCTCTTCCCTCCCTCCCTCCCTCCTCGCCTACCGCGCGCGGACCGCGCGGCCCGTGCCCCGCTCGCTCGGCCTCCCCCCCCTGCGCGGGCCGCCCCAGTCATGATCGGCCTGGTCATCGCGGTCATGATCGCGATGAAGTGGCAGATGACGAAGCGCATGGGCTACGTGCGCCCCGCCCCGCCACGCCCCCTCTCCGCCCCTCGATGGGCCTGCTTTCCACCACCACCACCAGAAGTTGGATAGGGGGGAAAGGCGGAGGAGGAGGAGGAGGAGGCGGAGAAGGAGGAGGCGGAGGAGGACGAGGAGGAGGAGGAGGCGGATTTGGAGGAGGCGGACCAGGAGGAGGCGGACCAGCAGGAGGAGGAGGAGGAGGAGGAGGAGGAGGAGGAGGACGCCCTCCCGCTCCGACTTGTGGTGGCGGTGGCGCTCTCGCGCGTCGGCGTCGGGCCCCGAGGCCGTGCCGGCCGGTGGCAGGCCGCCGTGCCCCTGCGACTGGCGGCGCCTTCCCTCGGTGCCGCTCCAGTGGATCGGGCCGAACGAAAGTCTGGACGCCCGACATGGGCACGGAAAGAATGGGTACGATGCCCAACAGCAGTTCCTTTTCATTTTGAACAGGATTCGCTGTCCACGCCGCCGCGGCCTGTGTCCATTTGAGACAGAAGGCCGCCTGCCCAACAGCGGCCGCTGTTGGTTCGGGACAACATTTGCTGTTGGGCATTGTGCCCATTCTTTCCGTACCCATGTCGGGCGTCCAAAGAAAGGGCGTTCTCGTCCTCGGGGGTCTGTCACCGAGCTCTCGGCGAGGAAGCGCCGATTCCAGGTCGACGCTCCCCACCCCTGAGGCAGTCCTACCCGATCGTCCCCCCAGATCGTGCTAGGAGCCCAGGCGTCGTGATGTCTTCGCAGCACGGCTCCCCAGATCTGGAGAATCGCAATTCGGGCCGAACGAAAGGGGGGTGATAGGGAAAGGGGGTGACGAAATCTGCTGCATGTAGCTCGTTTCGGCGCCGCCGCCGGGCCCCCTCCTCGATACACGGGCGCCGGGAAAATCAGCTACGTGAGCTGATTCTCCACCCCCCCTTTGTTATCCCCCCATTTCGCCCGGCCCGAGAGGATCGAAGGAGGAACAAACATACTTGCACATAAACTTTTGGCGCTCCGCGCAGATTTTCCTTGGATCCGCGCCTGGGCCCCCCCGGCGGCGCCTCCGGCGCCGCCCCTGGCACGCTCCGCGCGCCAGGGGGGGGGGGTCCAGCGCGGATCCAAGAAGTCCGCGCGGAGGGCCAACAGTTTATGTCCATGTGGTTTCTTCTTTTTTTCTTCTTCGTCTTCGTCTTCGTCTTCCTCTTCTTCTTCTTCTAGAGGAGTCCATCAGTCTCGAAGGCAAGACCGCAAACGTTCTTGTCTCCTTGGGCTCATCGATCGTGGGAGCAGGAATGAGCTCGAGGCCGGTTGGAGCCATCACAGATCGATGCGGCTCGAGGGACGCCGCAGCATTCTGGGCCTCCCAGACGGGATCCGAGTAGATGTGGTCGAAGGATCGCGCCGCATTGGTGACGCATCACCGATGCCTCGCCGATACATCGCCGGTGCATCGTCGATGCATCGGCAACGTTCACGATGTATCGGCGATGTCGGCGTGGAGAAAGTCGGGCTCCACATCGAGCCGCATCGCCGACGCACCGGCGGTGCTGCGCGATCCTCCGACCCCATCTGCTCGGATCCTATCTGGGAGGCCTCTGACTAAGAATGGGGTCGGGTCGGACGGGGCTCGGACGAGGATCGATCCGTTCCAGATCGCTCCGGACAGAGCCTCCAGATCTCAGATATTCTCGATTTTTGTTCAGCCGACTTTACCCTCGTCTTGGCCTCGTCTTATCTGGAGCTCCGCTCGTGATGCCTCTCTCTTCAGCACGCGAGCGCGCGCAGCCGGGCAAGCAGGGGCAGGCCGCGCCGCCAGCCGAGGGCAGAACAGCGCGGCGAGCCGCGCCGGGCACACGGAGCGGCACGGAGCTCCGCGCGGCCAGAGTGGCGCGGACGGCATCGCGGGGAGGAGGAGGGAGGAGGAGGCGGAGGAGGGGGAGGAGGAGGGGAGGAGGGAGGAGGGAAGGAGCGGAGGCGGGGGAGAGGAGGCGGGGAGGAGGGGAGGAGGATGAGGAGGAAAGGAGAGGCGGAGGAGGCGGAGGAGGAGGAGGAGGAGGAGGAGGAGGAGGAGGAGGAGGAGGAGGGCACGCGTGGAGGCAGGTGCCGGGCAGGACGCCGAGGCAGGAGAGCTCTCGCGGTGCTGCGCGGAGAGCTGCGCGCTCTCGCGGCGGAGCTGCGTCGGGGCCGCAGGGCGCGCTCGCCCCGCCGGGGGCCCCACTTTGTCGGGCCCCGCCGCCGCCGTCCGTCTCCCGAGCCACCTTTTGCCCCGGCCTCTCGCTCAGGAGGAGGAGGGGGAAGAGGAGGAAGAGGAGGAGGAGGAGGAGGAGGCGGAGGAGGAGGCGGAGGAGGAGGAGGAGGAGGCGGAGAGGAGGCGGAGGAGGAGGAGGAGGAGGAGGAGGGCGTCGCAGCCGTCATCTCTGCGGGTCTGCCTCTCGCTCTGCCTCCTCCCCAGTCGGTTGGTGGTGCAGTGCCGTTTTGTAATACATGCTCCGCGTGCGGAGCATGTATGAAGGATGCAGGATCAAAAACAGCATTCATTCATACATGAACCATGTACTAAACATCTGATATATATATATAAATATATATATATATCTATCTATCAAAACTTATGCATTAACGACTGCCCTGTAGACCTCCTGCCCTGGCACGTCGATCAGCGAACTGGTCGTGCTAGGTTCGCGAGAGGGCGTCGCGGCCGTCCTCTCTGCGGGCCCGGGTTCGTCGGCGTCGGTCCTCGGGCGTGTGCACGAGAGGCTGGTTTGCGAAAGGGAGGGTCATCCACCGTCGACCCAGGTGCCTTCTCCTCCTCAGGAGGGGAAAACACACACACGGACACAATTAATCTTCAGTTCCCCAGAAAGTATGGGAAACTATGGGCCAGTGGGGGGGAAGACAAAAACCCAGAAAACATATGGGAATATATGGGGAATCTTTTTATTTGTGTGTATTTATTTGTGTGTCCCAGGGTACCTTCTCCCCCCTCCGTCGCCGACTGCAATCGCAGGCGATCAATCTCCCCCAGTCCCCGAGCTCCGCCCGGAAAAAGTTTGGCCGCTCGGCAAGGGAGGGCCCCCCTGGGAGGCACCCCTGAGGGGGCTGTTCGGACGCACCCCCATCGAGGGTGGACGCCCCCCTATCCCCTATCCCAGTCTTGGGCCCCAGATTCGTTGGCCATTTCTCAGAGCGTGAATTACCTACCCCGCTTTCGCTTCCACGAATCACCAAGTCATACCACGCGCCTCCTCGTCAAGCGGCCTGACCAGTACAGGCCGTAGTTTGGCATCGCTTGGTATCTCTTGGAAGCGAGGGTGGTCAAAAGCGAGGTAGGTTTGTTTTCCCCCTAATTTCGAGACCCGATAGAGCCTGGGATGGGGGTGGACATCTCCCCTGGCATTACCAGCCTCGAACTGATCCCTGTCCCTAAGATTGACACGCCAAAAGGCGATGATAATCTTAGGGACTCGCCCATCAAAGCATAAGGAAATCCCTAAGATTGGCATCGTGATGAGGCGGTGCCCAGCATAGGGATAGGGATATGTTCCAGGCAGGTAATGACAGAAAGGGTGTGGTCGCGCTGGGGTGTGGTTTGCGATCGGCGCCGTTGGAGACGAGGGGGTCGCCACGTTGCGCCCAAGATTTGAGCCCTCGTCGGGCGCGGCGGAGATTCAGGAGGGAAAAAACACACAGACACAATTACTTAATCGTCGATTCCCCAGAAAATATGGGAAAATATGGGAAGTGGAGAGGGGAAGACAAAAACCCAGACAATATGGGGAATCTGGTTACTTGTGTGTATCTATTTGTGTGTCCCGGGGCTCCTTCAGAGATCTCTGTCGAGGTCCTCGCCCGCCTCTCCCCAGGCGCGAGTTGCAGTTACACCCCTGGGAGTCGCCGACTCCCATCGCCTCCCGGGAAGGTCCATTGCCAGCTGCTCGTTCCGATTCGGTATCGATGCCCGTCGGCTCGACTCGCTTCGATTCCGACGTTCTGGCGATGCCGATACGGCCCAGCCCTTGTGTGGCGATGTTGTGCATCTTGGCGCAGCTGATCCGATTCGGTTTCGATTCTGTGCACATTGCACATGCAGCCCGATCCGACGCACATCTCGATTCGATTGGATTATTCGATTTTCCGATTCGATGCTGTCTCATCCTGTCTCCTCCCCCACCCTCCTTTCCTCCCTCCTAGGGAGGTAGGTTGGCGGGGGACAGGAGGAGCAGGAAGGAAGCCCGGAGGGATGCATGAACGGAGGGAGTCTGGTCACGGTTGCCGACCGCATGAAGGACTTTGCAATTTCCCGCATGACGAATACAGTATCGAAATGGATCCTGAGCAGAGCTCTAATTACCTCCGCCGTTCATCTCGCGGCAACGCTAGCTGCCCCTTCCCACCCAGTGAGGGGGAGGGCACCCCCCACATGCGCCCTGCATGGAAGAATTAGCTATCGGAGGAAGTCTGGAGGAGCAGGAGCAAAAGAGACGGGTGAGGAGGAGGAGGAGGAGAAAGAGGAGAAGGATGAGGATGAGGAGGAGAAAGAGGGGTGAGGAGGAGGAGGAGGAGAGACGGGTGAGAAGGAGGAGGAGGAGGAGGAGGAGGAGGTGGAGGAGGAGAAGCAGGAGGTGAGGAGGAGGAGGAGGAGGTGGAGGAGGACGAGGAGGAGGAGGAGGACGAGGAGAAGGAGGAGGAGGTGGAGGAGGAGGAGGAGGAGGAGAAAGAGGAAGAGGAGTCCGGATGGAGAGGGGGACGTGTGCGGAGGGAGGGAGGGAGGGAGGGAGGAGTCCTCACCCCCTCATCCCACCCCGTCGTACATGCTTGGAAGAGGACCACAGGGGGGACGAAGGGTGGCGCGGAGGATGCGAGCCAATGCGTGGCGATCTCGGAGGGCATGGCACGTTGACGACAGAGCGCCATGGCAGTGTGCCGATACCGAAGCACTGGAAGCGGAGCACGCGGGATCGAAGCCCCGACTTCGACTTGCAGAAGCGGCACACATCGGACGGGGCTAGGGCTAAGTAGGG